TTTTTTTTTTTTTTTTTTTTTTTTGGGGGGGGGGGGGGGGGGGGATTGTGTGTTTCTATGCACTGGTTTTATTTCTAGGGGGGCAAGACAGATAGAAGGACATGGCCTCTGTCGCCCAGGCTTCTGAACCAAATCCTCCTTCAAAATGGCTTTTCCCCTCAATCTGGTGCATTCGTGCCTTTTAAATAATGCAGGTTTTCATTGTCAGTAAGAGCATACCTAATTGGGGGTGGGGGGGGTGCCGCCGAAATCTCAGGGTCTACGCCAGACAGCACCGGCTGCCAAACAGGGTGCATCCTAAACACCCCAAACACGCTCGCAGGAAGGCGCCCTCAGCTTCAGCCGTTCACCGGGCACCTCGTGATAGTGTTAGGAGGGCGACATGCACATAGTGAAAACAAAAAAAAAATCCCCTCGTAGGCACCTGGAGCCAGAATCAAACCCACGTGCCCAGAGGAGGCACCAAAGAAACCAGCCCGAGCTTCGTCGAAGCATTAATATATCCTTCCCCTAGGGGGCGCTGATGTTGCACTTCATATTTTACTCTGGCCTCGGTCAGCTTGGCCCTGGAGTTCACAGGTGCAGAACAAAATACTCTTTATAAACTACGAATAATAAGCTTCTTGATGATGCCCCGAGGTGGAGTTCGAGGGTGAGGTCGTCCGTGCACTTCTGCCTAATTGCTGGCACTTATGGATCATGAGCTGTTGTTTTTTCCACCAGAGGGGTGACTTTCACGGCAGTCCCCGTGTGTTCATTCCCTGGGCCGGAGCAAAGGCATCCTGCTCACTGCCGTGCGGCCAATTCGTCCTCAGGAGGGCAGTTAAACTGGAAGCTACCTGCACTTGTGACCAAAAAGCACTGCAAGGTCACATGAATGATTATTCTGTTGTACCCTTGAGCAGGGTAGTCGAGGTGCATCTCTACAAATCCACACGTCAGATGCCACTGTTCCCCCGCCGGCCTCAACTCTCAACAAAATCTGTCCCGATGTCTCTGCGAGCCCCTCCCATTCCCGACACCCCCAGGTGCTTCACCGTTTATACCTGGCAAACCCCACCAAGTAAAACCAGATTACCGGCGTGCCCTGAAAACACCTTCAAACCACAACTGGGAAACACATCCGTGTGGCTACAGTGCACATCCGTGTAGTTATAATACATGCATGGATGAAAATTTTATTTCATTGGTGGGGACACACACACAAACACGAAAGATGCCGGCAAAAGTTATACTTGTATTAAATGTTTATAGTATTATTATATGTACTAGAGAACTGACTAAAGTTAGCATTCAAATGTTTTAAATACGTTATAAAGTCATTACACTGGACTAATCTGAGTCTGCTTGAGCTGCTTTACTTGAATATAACCCTCAAAATAGTACAGTTCTGAAAGCAGTAGAAAAACCTCAATGAATAACCCAACTAAATCAAACAAAATATTCAAAAAATTCAAAAATATTTATTTATTGTAGTGTTTTTCAAAACAAGATATGTACAATTATACCACCAAATATAGGGCGACTCTGTTCTCTCTATCTACTTTGCCTAATGACACCATTATGTTAACGTTCCTATAAGCAATTAATTCTTTAATGAAGACTTTGTCAAATTGCCTATGATATGACTGTGGACTTTTGTTTTACATACTTGTTTTACTTGTTGACATTTTGGCCGGCTGACAAGACAAACACGCAGCATGCGGTGTTATTTACAGTAGGAGAGAAACAACACCCCTTAACTGCTGTAATGCTAATGAAGCTAAAGATTCACCCATGAGGCAACAGAGCTGACAATTAGCAGACAAATGAGTGTTAGTCTACTGAGTGGTAGAAGTAAAGAAATAAGTTTGACACATTCTCTGTCTTAAGTTTATGTTTGCAAAGCCGCTACTTACTGGTGGTCAGTGAGTACTGAGACGTAATGGCATTCGGAATAGCAGGCAGCGGATCAAACCACTCTGAGGGACGGGGGGGATGAAGTCTTTCGGAACTTAAAAATACATTGGTTTGCATTTATAACTGACGAAAGTGCTTACTGTTTAAAATGACATAGGTTTACAATGATGTATTGGGGGTGGGGGTGGACAGGCCTCATGAAGGAGGGGGTTTGAGCCCCGGGATTTATGTCTATGAGTATGTATGTATGTCCGCGTAGATACAGTTGATGTCCATGTGGTTACAGTGCACATCATATGGTTACAGTGCACATCAATATGGTT